GTGACTTTAGGTGAGTCATTTCCCCTTCTGCAGCCCTTGGTTTCACCATCTGTAAGACAGACGAGATGCTCCCTGCCCCAACCTGACACTCAGGAATAAGAGAATGGGCAAGAAGGAAAATGCTTTGCGCAGTGGAAGATGGTGTCATGGGAAGGATGGTCCTAATAACAGCAATTCCTGTCGAGTCAAGTTAAGGCTCCAAGCATTAACACGGGAGCCCACAGCACTTTAAGGTTTATAAAGCACTTTCCTCACAGGAGCTCTGCAAGGGAGGAGAGCACATTTTACGGTCAAGGATATGGCACCCCAGAGGGGGAACCCACTTGATCACATGGTTAGTTGGCAGCAGAGTCAGGACCCAAGTGCCACATTGTTCAATGAATTGAAAAGCAGAAGACTCAGGTTCAAGTCCTAGCTTGAGGACTTATGGTGCTGGTCTGGATGGGGCCACTAAACCGCACATAAAGACTTAGAAAACCACACATTAACATTATCTGTGTTCTATTGACTTCTTGTTCATTTTGTTAAATATTTATACAGGTAAGAGGAGCAGTAGATTAGAGCTCCTGGGCCTGGAGTTAGGAAGAAGATCTGAGTTCAAATTTGAGCTCAGACTCTTACTAGCTGCGTGACCCTGGCCACGTCACTTAATCTCTGCTTGCCTCAGTTTCCTTATCTGTAAAATGGGGACAACAAGAGTCCCTACCTCCCAGGGTCGTTGTAAAGACTGAATGAGATAATGATTACAAAGTGCTTAGCACCGTGCCCGGCACACAGTAACTGCTATATAAAAAGGCTAATTGTTATTTTCCATTTACTGCTTTCCATTTAATCTAGTTTGGGTTTCACTTGGGAGAATTGCAGGGCTGCGACTCTGTGTTTGACACCTCTGGTCTAGACGGTCTCTAAGGTTCCTGTGATCCCAAACTCTCCATCCTGTGTTGAAGCGCTGGACTCAGAAAACGTGATCTCTAAGGTTCCATTAATTCCCACTTCCTCTAAGGTCCGTCCCTTCTCTCGGATGTCTGCAATCTCACTAGCAAAGTGACTCCCTCCTGTCTGTCTGCAAACATGCTCGAGTTTCCCTAATCCTAAGAAGAGGCCTCTTTTGACCATTGCCGCCTCCACTCGCTCCCCCTTCTAAGTGGCCAGTATAATCTTTGTCAGACAGAGAACCATTTGGTTGTGTCCCTGTTGTTGTTCAGTTGTTTCAGTCGTGCCTGACTCTTCATGACCCCGTTTGGGGTTTTCTCAGCAAAGGTACTGGAGTGGTTTGCCATTTTCTTCTCCAGCTCATTTTACAGATGAGGAAACTGAGGCAAAAAGAATTAAGTGACTTGCCCAGGGTCACACAGCTGTGTCTGAGACTGAATTTGAACTCAGGTCTTCCTGACTCCAGGCCTGGTGCTCTATCCACTGAGCCACCTAGCTGCCCCATTTGTGTCCCTCCTCTGCCCCAAATCTTAAGTGGTTACCTATCACCTACCCAGTCAAGTTCAAAATTCTTGACCTGGCATTCAAGGCTTTTCCCCAGTCTGGTGCTATCTTCCCTTTTCAGCCTTATCCTGTATCACTTCCTTCCAAGAACACTCCACTCCTGTTCCCCATCTCTGGGCCTTTGCTTATTGCCCCATATGCTGGGCATGTCCTCCTTCCCTTTCTTCATTTTTCCTACCCGTTTTTTAAAAGCTTGGCCCAAATGGAAGCTCCTTTGAGCTCCATGAAGTCGCTCCTGATCCCCTAGGTTCAGTAGCTGCCTTGCCCGCTCAGACCTCATGTAGTTTTCTGCGTATTCCTGATGCCCACACCGTGTAATATTGCCAGTGTTATTTAGAGAGTTATCCTATCTGCACTAGAGTGGGAGCCCCAGGAATCTGCACCTTCCTTACTGCTACCACAGCGCTGCACACACAGAAGTTGCTTAGTAGAAATGAGTCATCTTACCTAGTCTAACCATCTCACTTTACAGAGGAGGAGACTGAGAAGTGACTTACCCAAGGTCACACAGGAAAGCAGTGAAAGTCTGAACAAGGGTGAGGACCCAGGTCTTCCTAGTTCTTGGTGCTCTGGCCTGGGCTTTCTTCCATGCCTTCTACAGAAAGGGTCTGGGGTCAAGGGCTGTCGGGGTGGGGCAGGAAGGGTTAATCATGCCCCTGCTCAGGATACAAAGGCAGGAAGCAAAGGGCAGTGCCTAGGGTTCTCAGCCATTTTCTTCGTCATCTTCAAAGGGTCCCAGACATGCTCATTGTACACCTCCCTTCTCATCTCCATCTACCCCAGTGCTGGGTACTTTAGGCTAAGTAACTTACTGGGAGAGAGGTCAGGGTGGGGTGCTGTGAGAATGCTATCTGACTAGGTCCTCCCAGGTATGGGGGGGCTGTTAGGTGGGATGGAGATCAGAGTATGAGTCATTCTGACCCTAGAGCAGGGAAGGGGTCATGTGGAAGAAGGAAATGTATGTATTTAGGGGGGAAGGGTCTTCCGGTCTTCCCCCTCCCTTTTCTGCGGTGCCTGAGTAACATATGAGTCACCACAGATTCCAATGGAGCCAGTTTAAGGCCAAACTCTTTGTCAGTAGAGACATTGATCCTCTGGTCTGACCCCTAATAAAGACACAGGCAGGCAGACAGACTTGTAGGCAGGCAGACAGACAGGCAGGCAGAAAGGCAGGCAGGCCAGCAGGCAGGCACCTATCAGTTGCCTGGAATGGGAGAAGGAGCCTAGGGAGGACATGGGTAGATTTACTCCAGAAGGTCAGAAGTGTATTGTGCTTGTAAACAAGCATAGCAATATTATTACTATTTTCATTGTTCAGTCATTTTTCAATTATGTCCAACCCTTTTGGGGTTTTCTTGGCAGAGATGCTGGAGTGGTTTGCCATTTCCTTCTCCAGTTCATTTTATGGATGAGGAAACTGTGGGAACCAGGGTGAAGTGACTTACCCAGGGTCACATAGCTAGGAAGTGTCTGAGGCCAGATTTGAACTCATAAAGATGAGTGTTCCTAACCCTGGGTCCCAGGGCTTATCTACTGTACCACCTATCCGTCTGTTGTTACTACTACATTGAGATATATATCTATAAAAAACAAAAGCTGTATGTAACAGATTCATGGTATCATATAATCCCAATTTTCTGACCATCTTCATATATGAAATATTTATTCTTGCTGATGATTTTCTAATTGATAATTAAAAAAAATTTTTTAAGTATGTACACGTGTGATGGGGCTGGGTCAGAAGATGAGAACTCTAGAAGCCTTGCCATGATCAACTGCCCTATTTGAGGGGCAGAATGATGTAGTGGGAAGAACCTTGGCAGAAGACCTGACTTTGTCACTTACTGAACCTGATTCAATCGCAGTGTCATAGAATGTCACAGCTAGAAAGGGACCTCTGAGATCTTCTGGTCCAAGCCAGTCATTTGACAGAGAAGAGAACTTTGGCTCAGGGAGGGAAGAGGCCTTGCCCGGGGTCAGCAAGCCAGTCAGTGGAAGACCCGGATCTTTGAACTCCAAGATCCGGGCCCTGAGTTGGAGCAGGATTTCCCTTTCCTCCATTCCCTCCAAGGACCTGTGACTCACAATTCCCAGCCCTGGGGGGTAAAATAGTCCTCCAGACAGACTCCCCATTGTCAGAGCCTTGAAGGAGGGTCAAGAGGGTCCCTGCACGCTGATGAGGGCCTTCAGACTACAGAGAAAGTCAGAGCTGCGAGGGCCTTTAATGCAGGATGCAGTAATAGCTAAATTATACTGTGTACAGAACCTTAAGGTATGCAAAGCATTTCACAAATATTATCTCATTTGAATCTCACAGCAACCCTGAGAGGTAGGGGTTATTATTATACCCATTTTACAAATGAAGAAACTGAGGCAGTTACTACTTGCTATGGGCCAGGTACTGAGCTAAGCCTGAGGATACAGAGAAAGGCAAAAATATCATTCCTTACCTCAAAGAGCTTACATTCTTTTTGGGGAAACAGCATTTAAATAATTGTGAACCGGCAAAGTATGTCCTGAATAGACAAGCTAGTGAGTTTGTACATTGGGTTTTGAAGCTCGGTCCTCCTTTTGGCCAGGCCTAAGGGATACTGGAATAGAGAAGGTCAGGATTGGCTGAGACTTAAGTCTAACCTTGCTGTCTGGCTGCCAACCTTCTGCCTGTCTTTGTGCCCGCCCTCCCTGGGACACAGGGCTGGGAGCAGGCAGGGGCGGGGGCACAGAGCACCCATTGTCTCCTGCCCCTGCCATGCACCCGGGCACAGGAAGAGTTAGAGGTGAAAGCAGGAAGAGAAGGGAGAAAGTTGGGACGTGGTGGCCAGGTGTGAGGGCCCTGTGACCTCAGGCAAGGAGTCAAGGCTTCAGGAGGACCGAGGAGTCCTCGACTCTGCCAGCTCCCCGACAAGACGTTGGGGAGGGAGGATACCAGTTAGATCTAGAAAATGGCATGGAGCTGGTGGGCGGGCATTGCCCAGGAATGATGCCAATGCCCCAGGCACTTCAGGTGCCCACCCTCAGTCTCTCCCTGTAGAAACCCAGCCAGCAAATGTCTGTCTGTCACAGCTTGGCCCCTCGAGGCTCGGGGCCAAGGAGAGGGTGCTTAGAGAAAAGCTTACCCCATTGATGCCCGGAGGGGAAAGGGCAGCCAGTGCACCCCGTTCAGAGAATAGAGCAATTTACCTGGGATTATACGGGCATTAAGCCTAGCCTGAACTCCAGCGGCTCCAGGTATTCTCCCCCAGCCCTCCCTTCTAGGTACTCAAGGGTACCTCAAGGCCTCCTCCAGCCTTCTGCCCCTCTCTCCGGGTCACAGCTCTGGGGAGGGATCCTCCCTTGGAAGGTATCCCTCCAGGATCCTGTCTGAGCCCTGAGCCTCTCCCCCTTCCTTCGGATTCCAAACATTCCCAGGAGCTGAGGCGGCTTCAAGTCCCAAGCCCTGGCCCCACCCCCTCCCCTGGCCCAGTCCAGCTCGTAGTATGTGCTGATCTGAACTCAGAGAACTGGGGTCCTAATCTGACCCATGAGCTAGTGACTTTCCCTCTCAGGGCCTCAGTTTTCCCATCTGTAAAATGAGAGGTTCAGACCAAATGATCTCAAAGGTCTGTTCTAGCTCTCATGCGGGAAGCCAGGTCAGAGCCATAGCCAGAGAAACAGTCATAGACACAGGGAGAGTCTCAGACGGAGTCAGAGCGCCATGGCAGGGATGTATGTGATTGATACCCTTCCCTAGAAGCAGCAGGTGGGAGGAGAAGGCCAAAAAAAATGAGAGGACCGGACCAGGTGAACGTTAAAGAACACTTTCAGCTGGAAAATTAGGAAAGTCTGGGATTCCTGGTTGACAGGTAGGTGTCCTTGGGTCCCTCCTCCACCCCCGACCCCAATCCAACATGCTTCTGTTGTCCCAGAATGATGCCTAGACGCAGTCCCTCACCCCTGGACCCTGAACCCCCGCTCCATTCTCTGGCTCGTGACCCGGAATTGGGAAAGCCCAGGTGGAAGTCCCTCCTGGTGTGTAGCCCAAATTCCTCCTGCTATGGCAAAGGTTCGTTTCCTTATGGGTGCTGGGGTGGGGACGTAGAGAATGGCAGCAATCTCCCCTTCTGGGAGCTGGAATCGGGAGAATGAAGTGACCGTCTTGGCTTCCTTGTCCTCTGCCTCTCCACTGTCCCCTTCTTCTTCTGTCTCCTGCTTGCCTCCCCTCGCTTGGCTGGGCTAGAAGGAAAGAGCCAATCCAGGTAGGAGCTCACCTCCCCGCCTTTCCCCTCCTTGGAACCCTCCCTCTAGGGGCAGGGCTGGGCGGGGCCACTACTAAAGCCAGGGTCCATCCTCCAGTTCACACTGTGCTGCCCAGCCCCAGCCCAGGGACACTGCTGGGGAGAGAGGGAGGAAGGCGCCCGGAAGGCTGCCTGGGGTAGTGGAGGAGAGGAGGAGGAGGAAAGGAGGGGAGGGAGAGGAGGAAGAGGAAGAGGAGGAAGAAGAAGAGGAGGAGGAGGAACTTCAGGACTGGTGCCAGTCCTGAGCAGGAGCCAACACCCCTCACCCAGGTAGGGCCCCTCCCCAGCCCGGATCTGGGCGGGAGCTTGACAGGCAGACAAGCAGATAGATGGTGACCTCCCGTGCTCTCCACATGCAAGCCCATGCTGGTCCAAATGAGTTTGTTTAGGGACAAAGGGGCTGGGGCAGAGGATACTGTGGGGTGACCTAGAGAGAAATGGGCAGAAGTGACCCAAGAGATAGAAGCAGACCAATAGAGGTGGGGGAACAGGTGAGTGAGAGGGACTCTTGCTCAGGCACTACTAAATGAAATGACCACTTAGGTCCTTTTTGGCTCTGATTCTGAGAGGACAGGACAGAGGGACAGCAATGGGGGGACAGATGGATTAGGGGAAAGGACTGGTGATCTGATGGAGGGGAAGAGAAAGAAGTTGATAGAGTGACAGAGGGTTAGAGAGAAAGACAAATCAGAAATGGAATAGACAAGGGGGAGAGGGCAGAGGGACAGTAAGGGGGGACCAAGGGAATATAGGAGATAGGTGGAAACAAGACAGAGACAGACATGGGGGCACATGGGTTGGGAGGGAGGGCTGGAGTACAGTACAGGGGGAAGAGGAAAGAAGGGGGTGAGATAGGGGCAGAGGGGTCAACAGAATAGACCGGGGGAGACGACAGAGATGGGGGGCAAAGGATGGAGAGACAACAGATTCAGATGGTGGAATTGGGGATAGATGGAAGAAAGGGACAGAGGGAAGAGTGTGCTGGTTTGAGGTGAGGAGAATAGAGATGGGGATTTGGAGATGGGAGAGTCTGGGACTGAAGGGGAGATATTAGCAGAGGGAAAGGTCTTGCGTCCTTCCAGCCTGAATCCATAAGAAGAGCTATTTCTGGGATGCCCAGTGGGCTTCAGCCTTGTTGGAAAAAGGGAGGGGGTTGTGGGGGGCTTGGTCAGGCCATTCTTCCTTCACTCCTCCCCTCCATATGCCCAACCCTGACCTCTAGGCAGGAGCAAGAGTCAGTGGTTTCCTCTGGTCTGGGGCTCCCCAACACCTAGGAGTATCTTTTCCCCAGTCTCCCTGGGGTCACAGCCCAGGATCAGTCTGACTCTTCTAGTTCAGGGGCGGCTGCCCAGGAATCCCACCCCCTCCTAAGCCTTACCTCACCCCTACCCAGACCACATCACTTTCACAGGCTGATAGTTGGGACCCTGGGGTCTTCTTGTTTGCTTTGGAGGCCAACAGTAGGAGGAGACCCAGGGGGCTGGGCACAGAGGGCAGAGGTCTAGGTCTTCTATATTTTTAACAAGGAGTCTTCCTCTCTTCCTCCACCCACATCCAGTGGCTCCCGGCACCATGTGGCTGAACTCCCTCTTAGGTGCCCTGCTGTTGGCAGGCCCAGGAACCTTCTGTGCTCAGAGTGGCCGAAGTCGCCGGGAGCTGGCACCGGGTTTACACTCCAGGGGCATCCGAGACGCAGGTGGCTCCTATTGCCAGGGACGAGACCTCTGCTGCGTAGGCCGGGAGGATGACTGCACCTTGCCCTACCTGGGCACCCTCTGCTACTGTGACCTCTTCTGTAACCGGACCGTCTCTGACTGTTGCCCTGACTTTTGGGACTTTTGCCTGGGCGTTCCACCCCCTTTCCCTGTTATCCAAGGTATGTAGGGACCTGCTTGCCCTCTCCCCACCCCCCATCCCCTCTTGGACTTAGAGGCAGGGGAGAATCTCAACTCAGGTGCTAATCTAGCTGTGTGACCTTGGGCAAGTCTCTCCTCTAGGCCTCAGTTTCCCCAACTGTAAAATGAAGAGATCAGACCAGAGCAAGGGTTCTTAACTCTTTTTGAAGGGTCATAGACCCTTTTAGGAGTCTGGTGAAGCCTGTTGAACCCTTCTCAGGAATGTGTTGAGTTTTTTTTTTAAGTTCATAAAAAAATTGAAGGAAATGCTAAATTTCAATTAGAGGTTAATGAAAATAAAGATGCATTTTTTTTCCATCCAAGTTCCTTGACCCCCTGAAATCTGTCTTCTGGCTCTAACATTCTATGATTATGCCTTCTCCAACTGAGATCAAGGAAGAGAAAGAGGAAGAGGAAGATAGTCCTTAAAGAAGTCCTTCAACTCCTTCCCCAGACTTATCCCCACTCCCTCCCCATGAGAAAACCATTCTATCTAATCTGGACTCTCTATGTTCTGAAGGGGCCCAGGCTCCCATGCTCACCCAATGCCTGTTCTGAGACCCAGGGCTAGGCACTGGCCTCCTCCTGCTCTTTCTCCCTACCCCTGGCCCAGTAGCCTCACCCAGCCCCACCCCTTGACTCACCCATCGGCAGGAGGGTCCAGCTCCAGAGGCCTAGATCTGGGAAGAGAGAAATAACACACCATATTCCTGGGGTAGAGTTGGAATTTCACTGCCTGGTCTCTAGGGGACTCCATGGTTTGTTTTGGAAGGGTGGGGCATCTATCTGTTTTCTTAGGGACACCCTGACTTATTTTGGGGATATCCTTAGCTAGTTTCTGGGGGCCCACTGCTGGATTAAGGGTGGCCCATTCTCTAAGGATCATGGTGTCTAGGATGGCCAGAGGGGTATCTCTCTTGGTATCTCTCTAATCCTATTCTCATCCACCTTGAGGATCCTGAGGGTGGGGATACTGAAGCTCATTTACGTGTTCCTGCCTCTTGTCAGGTTATTCTGACCAAAGACTTGTCATAAACCCAGCTGGCTTCCTCCCCCTAATTCGATGGGACTCCTGGGTTTTATTTCTAATAGCTCTGTGGCCCTGGGGGAGTGACTTGCCCTCTCTGGCCTCTATCTCTCCTCCTCTCATCCTAATCTCCAGAGTAATTCATGCTACCAAGGGCCTAAATATATGTTTTGGGAACTGAGAGACCTGGAAATCTTTACATTAAAGGGGAAGGATGTTGAACTCTGGGAGGGATTTTCAGAAATTTGTCCAGAAGCAAGAGGATGTGTGGGATTATATTGGGGGATGGGGGGGAGGGGTCTCTGCTATTGCTGAGTTTTGGGGGAGGGGCCCAGCCTGGTTCTCTTGACCCCAGTCCCTGACCCCTCCCCCATCCCCAGGGTGTATGTATCAGGGACGAGTATACCCAACCCTTGGGACCTACCAAGACAATTGTAACCGATGGTGAGTGATTGAGGCCTTTGTGGATGGGGGGAGGGCTGGGGGCCCCTAGAATGTAAGGGCACAGTAGGGACCAGACCCCCAGTACATCTTCAGAGGCTCCAGCTGGGCAGCCAGGGGATCTTGGGGCCCCCACCCCCTTATATCTTTCTCCCATCTGTCCCTACCCTTCCTCTGCCTCTTCCTGGTTTTCCCATGCCCCTCTGCAGTCTCTGTCTCTCTCTCTTTCTCCAAGTCTCTTTCTCCCACTGTGTCTGTCTCCACACCCCCTGGGGCTCCTATGGGCCTCAATCGATACCTTTTAAGGAGCCTGATGGAAGTCCAGGCCCAGTTTTGGCTGAGGCTGAGGCAGCGGGAGACTGGGGGTGGGGTGGGGTGGGGTGGAGAAGTGGGGGAGGGACAAGTATGCTAGAGACAGACAGACTGGGACTAAAATGGCCCTTTTTGAGTTGGGGGCTATCAGCTCCCCCCAACCCTGAGCTCCTAGAGCAAGTCTGAACAGGAGAGAAATGGAATGGGACCTGGCCAACTGTGTGCACCAGCAGGTCCCAAATTCCAGAAGTGGAGTTGGGAGGAGAGGCTGGAGGGCTGGACATTAACCCTTCGGTGCCCAGAGAATCTTTCCCTTTCCCTGGGAGGCAGAGTACGGTCCTTTCATGTTACCCTTCATTCCCTCCCTCTGTCCATAAGCTCAAAGTGTCCGTACTTCCCAACTTCCCAAGAAACTATTGCTCCCCCATCCCCATCCTCTCCCCAGGGTCTCTGGGAGGGCAAGCTGCCAAGGCCCCACTTGTGGTAAGTGGGCACTGAATGCAGAGTCCTCAAAATCAGCCTCAGTTACCTTCCCTCCAAGTGTGGCGTCTCCTTCCTTCACAGCAGGGGTCAGGGTTCCTTCCCCTCCCCCATTATTCCCCAACCCTTTCCAGGAATCAAGGCCACTGGGGGGAACATTCCTGGGAAGGCCCCACACACAAACCAGCTCCCAAGAGCAACACTCCCCCCAGCTTCCTGACATGACATGACATGAGGGTTTCCTTCCTGCTGCCTCCCCCTCCGGGGATTGCTAGAAGCAGGCCAGAGCAGGGGAGGAGGGGACAGGACCTCCTGGGGGTGTGGCGGTGTCCCCCACCTCCCAGATTCTGCATTAACCCTTTCCTTCCCTCTTTACCAGCACCTGCAAGCAGGATGGGGCATGGGAGTGTGACCAGGAGCCCTGCCTGGTGAACCCGGACCTGATCAATGCCATCAACCTTGGCAGCTATGGGTAAGAAGAGCCTCTTGGGCTCCGGCCATGAATCCACAGGGATTGTGACAGGTCTCCTGCCCTCTCCCAGAACCCCTGTGACTCCTGCACCTTCTGGACCCTTAGGTGGACAGCTGGGAACCACAGTGCTTTCTGGGGGATGACTCTTGACGATGGCATCCGCTACCGCCTGGGCACAGTCCGACCTGCCTCCTCTGTGATGAACATGAATGAGATACAAGTGAGTCTGGGGGCTGGGGGGCCCGATGTATAGTGAGCACGGTGGAGGGCCTTCAACCGAGCCGCCCCGCCCCATGACTCCACAGTCACTGCCCCAAGATGCCCCACCCGCCAGAAAAGGGAGTTTGCGACCCTGACACCAGGCAGTTTTACCTAGTATAGCTGTGAATTTGAATCAGATATTAGGACTTCTACACTTGCTGTCTGGCCTTGTTTGTATAGCCTCTGCAAAGTCCTGGAATGATCTCAGGAGTCCTTTATACTGCTAACATTCTACATTCATAGATTCCAAGTTCCCTCCTAGCTCTGACATTCTGTGTTCTAAGGTCCTTCCTAGCTCTGACATTCCATGTTGTTCCAAGGCCCTTCCTAGTTCTAACATTCCATGTTCTAAGGCCACTCCCAGCTCTGATATTCCATGTTCTAAGCTCCGTCTTATATCTGTGTTCTGATAATAATAGCTCACATTTCTGTAGCACTTTTATGTTTTCAAACCTCTTTATGTACAACAACCTCCCTTCAAGGTAGGCACTGTTATTATCACAATTTTACAGATGAGAAAACTGAGTGGAGAGGCATGTGGTGACTTGTCCAGGGTCATGCAGCAAGAAGCTGTCTGAATCAGGATTCAAATTCGGGTCTTCTGGGTGCATGATTCCCTCCCCCTGCCAAACTCTCCCTCTGGACCTCTTTCTTCCACGATGCATTGTCAGCATCTTCATTTACATATCTCGAGGATACATAGACCCAGCTGGAAGGAACCTTAGAGACTATGGGATACTACCCAGTTGTGCAGATGGAGAAACTGAGGCCCAACTCTAACCTTCGCCCCCTTCCCCCAAGCTGGCCAGTCCTGGGAAACCCCACAGTTGCAGCTCCCAGGGCCGGGAGGTTATTCTCGTGGCTGGGACCTTGGGGTTGGAGTTGGAGGCTGTGAGCCTGTGCTCCCCGCTTCCCTCCCCCCAGCCTCTCCCCCCTCCTCCTCGCCCACAAGGGTTGGGAGGAGGTTCTGCATGGAAAACCGCTTCCATCTGTCTCTTGGGCTTGGCAGCGATGACCCTAAGAGGACCCCTGGGGCCAGAGGAATGGCCCCTACTCAAGTGACCCCAGGTCCCCTGGGCTTCCCAGCCCTGGCTATTTTCTGCCTCCCTTTGTTTTCACTTGGTAGCTGGCCAGGTCATGGGGCCTCCCTTCCCTCCGAGCCAAAGGTCCCACTGGCCTTGGACAGCTTTTTAGCCTGGGAAGGAGGATGTTCGAGGAAGGGGCAGAGGAGGGATGACAGTGGTGAGAGGCTGAAGGAAGACCCTAGAAAAGACTGGTGCAGGAGAGGGATGTCAGGAGGCCGGGGTTCTAGCCCTGGCTTCCCCGCTTTAGACCTCAGTTTCCTCATCTGTAAAATTTTGGGATGGGGCTAGGGAGCTTCTGAAGTGCCTTCCAGCTCTCATCTCTGAGCCTATGAATTATCCTTTCTGGGCCTTAGTTTCTCTCTGTGTTCAATGTGAGTAATGACCATTGTCCGGCCTCCCTCCCCAACATTAGGAGTGCCCATTGGTCCCAAGAGGTGCTTCTAACATAAACGGGTTTGTATTGTTGAAAGAGGCAACAAGAACTAGGGGGCGCCACGGTGCCTCTCACACTGGGCCTGGAGTCAGGAAGATTTGAGTTCAAACCCAACCTCAGACACTTGCTAGCCATAAGACCCCGGACAACTCACTTAAGCCTCAGGTTCTTCAGCTGTAAAAATGAGGCCAATCATAATACCTACCTCCCAGGGTTGTTGTGAGGATCAAGTGAGATAACATTTGTTAAGTGCTTAGCACATAGCAGGTGTTTAATAAATGCTTATTCCTTTCCGTTCTCCCTTGAAAGAATCAAAACGGACAAAAAAAAATCACAGATGGCAGGACCATAGAATTAGATCATTTAGAACTGGAAAGGGGCATAGATTATCTCGTTCAAACTGCCCATTACACAGAGTCTGTACCACTGAAGCCCAGCCTGGGAGGGGCTGATCCCCTCACCCTTCTCTCTCCCATTGGTCTGGCCTCTGTTTGTGGGCCTCACATGAGGCCTTCAAGTTAGCCTGAGGCCCAGGACTTCTGGGGGAAGCTCAGGGGGCAATGGTGTGTTTGTACCTTGTAGATGGTCATGTTACCAGATGAAACTCTTCCCCCAGCCTTCAGTGCCTCAGATAAATGGCCTGGCCTGATCCATGAGCCCCTGGACCAGGGGAACTGTGCAGGTTCCTGGGCATTCTCCACAGCAGGTAGGGGCTGGGGCTGAGGCCAGGCTGGAAGCTGGGACTTGGACTGGGTTTTGGACAGGGACGGGGGTAGGAGGTAGGGGTGGGCTTGGTACCAGCACAGGCTAGGCTAGAACCTGGGTTGGGGTCTCTCATCACCACCTCTACCTGCCCTATTCCTCTCTCTAGCTGTGGCCTCAGACCGCATCTCCATCCACTCCATGGGTCATATGACCCCAGCCTTGTCCCCTCAGAACCTGCTGTCCTGTGACACTCACAATCAGCAGGGTTGCCGGGGTGGGCGGCTCGATGGGGCCTGGTGGTTCCTGCGTCGCCGTGGGTGAGCAGACTTGGGCACAGAGGGAGCCCATGGGCACAGATACTGGGGGATGAGAGATAGAAGGAGGAATTGGGATAAGAACCCAAGGAGAGGGTGCTGGCCAAAGGGACATTGAGGGAGGGGGCAGGAGGGGGCAGAGGGCACCAGCAGGGCATGTGCCCCCACAGGCTGGCCTGAGGGGGCTGAGTGTAGGGGTCTCCTTCATCTTCTCTCCCCCACCCTGCCTCCCCACTGTCTCTTCACAGGCTGGTGTCCAACCACTGCTACCCATTCTCGGCGGGAGACCAGGATGGGGCAGCCCCTGCGGCTCCATGCATGATGCACAGTCGTCACATGGGCCGGGGCAAACGCCAGGCCACCGCCCACTGCCCCAACAGCCGGGCCCATGCTAACCACATCTACCAGGCCACCCCTCCCTATCGCCTCTCCTCCCATGTGAGAGCCCAGGCTTGGGGGCAGATGGGGTGAACTCGGGAGCCTATGGGGGGGGGAGACATCATAGGGTAGGGTGGCCCAGCAAGAGCATGACCTGAAATAGGGAGATGGGGTCTGGCTTCCAGCGACCCCTCAGGTCAGCCTCACCCCCTTTCCTAGGAGAAAGACATCATGAAGGAGCTGATGGAGAACGGGCCTGTCCAAGGTAAAGGCCTTTTCCCTTCTCTGTACCCCATCATCCCCCTCCCTCTGCTCTCTGCCCCTCTCTTCCTTTCCCTCCTCTCCCTCTCTCCCTCCCTCCCTGGCTCTCACACTCATGAACTGGCAGAGACCTTGGAAATTCCACCTCGTCCTGAGACCAACCCTCCCCCCCCATCCCCACCTGTTGTGAAAGGCTCTGTGCCCCAGGCCTGTCAGGCAGAGGTCACAACAGATGCCCCCTCAATAGACCCCATTTCTCTTTAACATTCAATACAGGCCCGGGGCCATGCCCACCCCCAGCTGGCACAAATGGAGCAGCATGGGCACCCCAAGGCCATCAACCCATCCATCTCAGCCTCAGGCAGAACCCCATCCCCTCACTGACTGCTCATGAGGAGAGGGTGGAGAGGGTATTGAAGGATTTTAGCCTCCCCCTGCCTTGATGTATGGGTCTAGAGAGGCAGCACAGAGGGTTTGCCCCGAGCAGGTGCCCATCAGACACTCCTCTGCCCACAGCCCTCATGGAAGTGCATGAAGATTTCTTCTTATACAAGAGTGGTATCTATAAGCACACGCCAGTCAGTCTGGGGAAGCCTGAACGTTACCGCCAACATGGGACTCACTCTGTCAAAATCACAGGGTGAGAAGTGCCTTCTGGGAAGGGTACCAGGGTCAGCATGGGCAGGGCCTGGTCTGGGGGTTCCTAAGGGACATCCAAGTGAAGTGGCATGAGCACCATATTTGGAAACTGACGACCTGGATTCAAAGGCCAGCTCAGCTACGTACTGTCTGGACCTTCCCTTCTCGGAGGCTCAGTGTTCCCATCTGTGAAATGAGTCTGTTGGAGCCAGCAATGTCTGAGAGCTCCTGGAATTCTATGAGTCACTGCTCTTTCTTCTCATTGTGCCTCAGAGATGTCCCCAGTTGCTACAAGAGCAGAGGAGCTGGGAGGGAGCAGCTGTGCTAGGCACCGAGGGGCAGACAGTGTTCACCCTGCCTACCTCCTCCGCCAGACCCTGCCTTGTTCACACCTGGAGGGCACACAGAGATGACCAAATTGCAAGTTAAAAGTGGCCAGTCCTGGGGCAGTTAGGTGGTGCAGTGGATAGAGCCCCAGCCTTGGAGTCAGGAGGACCTAAGTGCAAATCCAGCCTCAGACACTTGGCACTTACTAGCTGTGTGACCTTGGGCAAGTCACTTAACCCCATTGCCCAGCCACAAAAAAACCAAACCAAAAACCTAAAAACAAAAGTGGCCAGTCCTAATTTGCCCCACTCAGTGGACACAGAAGGAAGCTGAGACTCACAGAGCGGGGCCTCGCAGAGCTGAGATTCTAACCCAGGTCCTCTCACTCTAAATCCAGGGTTCTTGGGCTCGACCCCCTTCCACTTGGCACTAGGAAGGAATGGTTTGTTCCCCTTCTGATAGTTTTCAGGGCATGAAGGGGAGGGGGAAAAGGATGACCCCCGGGGCAGAAACATTCCAGGAGGAAAGCCAGACTAGTAGTCAACAACCCCAGTCACCATGGCAACTGGGGATTGAGGAGGGGGGGGCAGCCCTAGGGAGGCCCAGCTGAGGACCTCTGAGGGTGGGGGAAGAGTCCCAGTCTCCACTGGAAAGGCCAGGGCGGTGTGTGGTGTACCTCAGGGCCCCTAGGCCTTGCTATATGACTCCGGCCGAGTCCCTGCCCATCTCTGGACCTCAGTTTTCTCCTTTAGATGATGTCTGGGCTCTTTCCAGCTCGGACATTCTGTGAACTTGACTCTAACTCCTCTTCCCTGTCCTAAAGGTGGGGAGAGGAAATTCAGCCTGATGGACAAAAACTGAAATACTGGGTGAGTCCCAACATGTACTGGGAGGTGGGAGGGGAGGGACCCTGAGAGCTCCAAAGCCGCTGTTCTGAGAGCCCCTGTGTGGGAGAGGGAGAGGGGAGCTGTTCTCAGGGAGCCCCTAGCCAGAGGGGTAGACATGGCCCCTGCACTCAGGGAGCTGCTGGGCTGAATTCGGAGTCCAGGAATTTAAGACCTGGCTGGGACCAGGGATCCCTCTCTTCTGCTCCCTTCACACCCCCCTCTTTTCTCTAACAGACAGCTGCCAACTCATGGGGCCCAACCTGGGGAGAAAACGGATACTTCCGAATTGCCCGAGGGGCCAATGAGTGTGATATTGAGAGCTTTGTGGTGGGGGTGTGGGGCAGGGTCGGCATGGAAGACATGAGCCCACACCACTGAGCCCCCAGTTTTGGCCTGCCTGGAGGCCTTTGGGCCTTCTCCTGGATGAGGATTTGGGCATCCTCCAAGAAATGCCCTCCACCCATCACCTGCTGCCCGGATCTGGGGCCACAGCCTACTGGTGCTAAGAAGTTTGCTTGGGTTGGGGTTCAGATCCCACAGACAGCAGAGCTCCTGATCCCTGCCCCTTCCCTGGCCAAAGGGAGGGGGAGCCAATCCGCTGAAACAGCAGTTCCCTTGAGGGCCCTCTACCCCCTGCCCTCCTCCCCAAATCCTGCCTTTCAACCTCAACCAAGCGTGAGCTGCCCCTAATCCCTGCCTGCTGATGTTGCAGTCCCAGGAGAATGGGAGCATGGGAGTAAGGAAGTCAGAGGGGGACAGGAGGGCTTCTCAGAGCCCCAGGGACTCCCTCCCACTTCCTCTTTCCCAGGAGGGTGCAGATACCTGATCCCCCAGCCTCCTCTCTCAGGTCCTCTCACCCTGCCACCAGCCTATCTTGTTTTCTCCTGCTGAGCCAGGGAAAGCCCAACTAGGTGCGTCTGGGGCCTCCCTGAGCACGGATGGACACCATGCCGGCCTTCACCCAGCAGGAGAGGAGCCTGAGTTCAGGCCTGTGCTTCCTCCCACCCCACTGCCTAGGCTGATACCACTTTCCCTTTTCTCTTTCCTGTACTTTCAGTCTTTGAGAATATTTATTTTGCTTATTACTGACTGTAAATAAACCTGATTCACACACAGTGGGCTGCCTCCTTGCTAGGCAGCACCGGGCTGGCCCTTTCTGCCCAAGGCCCTTGGGCTTGAGTGGGGGGGGGAGGATAGGAACCCACAAAACCTAACCACCTTACAGAGGATGAATCAGACAGCAATTCAATTCCATTCAGTAAACATGAGCAACTCATGTGCAGAGTAGGACCTCCTCAAGCTTGAGGCAGGAGAAAAGGAATACCGGCCATGGTCTACTCCCTTGGATGTCCCCAAGACTCAAAGGGACTCAGAAGTGGAGGGGCCTGCAAAGGCTGCTTTAGTCCAATGAGGACCTGGATGGAGACTTCCCCGACAATATGCTTTCAGTGTGAAGGAACTGCCTCTTAGCTCTGTTCCTTTCTGGGCTCCTGCCTCCTGCTTGTCCTGCTTGCCGTTCACAACCCTGGCTCAACCCTTCTGGCTGCTTTGGTTTAACTCCTAGGCCCAGGTCCATTCTCTCTGTCTCTCTCTGACTCTCTCTCCCTCCCTCCTCTCCCTCTCTCTATATCTCCTCTGTATCTCTGTGACTCAGTGTCTCTCCATCTCTTTTTGTCTCTGAATCTCTGTCTGTCCATCTCTCTCTACATTCTTCTGTCTCTCCCCCCCTCTGTCTCTGATTTCTTTCTCCCTCTCCCATCTCTGTGTGTCTCTGTCTATCTCTTTGACTCTCTCTCTCTGACTCTGTCTTTCTGTCTCTCTCTCTCTCTGAATCTCTGTCTCCGTCTCTCTCTTCATCAGCTCCCATGGCTTCAGTTTTTTACGTCTATGCCCATAGCTCCCGGCCCTAAGCTCTCTCAAGCTCCAGCTGCCTATTGGACATTTCAAGCTGGATGTCCCATAGCCATTCCAAGCTCAAGTCCAAAACAGAACTTACTCTTGGAGGCAGCAAGATGCAGTGGAATCTAAGGAGGTAGCTTCAAAACCTGCCTCTGATTCCTATTGCACGGTTATTGTGTAAGTATAAGTCCTTTAACTGCCCAAGGCCTCAGTTGGATCAGATGACTTTGGAGGTCCCTCAGCTCTAGATCTATGACCCTATGATCCACCCCCCAAACCCACTCCTTTCCCAAGCTTCCCTGTTTCTGTTGAGAGTACCATCATCCCTCCAGTCCCCCGGGACTCCAGGACTTCCGTTTCACTTTCTTCTTACTCCCATTCAAACGGCTGCCAAATCTTGTGCCTTCTGCCTCAACATCTCCCCCACGTGTCTCCCCTCGTCTGCATTCACGCCCTTAGTTCAGATCCTCATCTTCTTTCACCTGGACTACTGCTATAACCTCTGATGGGTTTCAGTTTGTTCCCTGCCAAACGGATATTCCTAAAGTACGTGGCTGCGCATGGCATTCTCCTGCTCAAGAAACCCCAATGCCTCTTTCCTCTTTGCTGATGTTGGGTCATTTCAGTTACGTCTGACTCTTCATGACCCCATCTGAAGTTTGCTTGGCAGAGATACTGGAGTGGTTGGCCATTTCCTTCTCCAACTCATCTTACAGATGAGGAAACTGAGGCAAATAGGATTAAGTGACTTGCCCAGGGTCACACAGCTAGTATTTGAGGCTGAACTCAGAAGGTCAATCTTGCTGACTCTAGGTGGGGCGCTCTATGCTCTATGGCGCCACCTAGCAGTCCATCGCTATTATTTCTAGGATCAAATAAAAATTCCTTTGATATTTAAGTCCCATCACAACCTCATTCCAACCTGCCTTCCCAGGCTCGTTATGCTTTATGATCACACATACCCCCATCCCACAACACACTCTATGGTCCAACTGAACTGGTGGTCTTGTTTCTGGGGCACAACGTTCCGTTTCTTACCTCCACGCTTTTGCACAGATCGTCCCCTGCGCCTGGACTGCCCTCCCTCTCACGTCCACCTCACCTAGAGTTCCACATTCCCTTTAAAACAGTTATGTTAAACTCAGATAGAAACAGGAGCCACTGAACCATAGAGAAGCATCTCTGTGGACACATATCGACTTAGAACACCACATATTAGTATTATCTATGTTTTATTGTATCTATTTATTTTTTTAAATTTCTCAATTACATTTTAACCTGGTTCGGGCTGTAGTTCAAATCCACTTCTTCCACGAGGCCCCTCGGCTGTTAGCGCCTCCCTCCAAATTGTATTTACTTGGTGGGTATCTTGTATCTACTTATATTTGTACGTGTTTTTCTTCCTATAGAATGTAAGCTCCTTGAGGGCAGGGACTGTTTGGGGTTTTGTGGTTGTATTTCCAGCACCTGGTGTTTAATAAACGCTTGTTTGATTGATTCATCGATTGAACCTGTGCTTGGAGGCTCAGCTACATCCCCCAGCTTAGGAGGAGCTGAGAGCTAAGATAACTAGCAGTCACAGCCTAAGCCCAATGCTGTAAGATTCCTGAGGTTCCTTCCCCCTCAGATGACCTTAGCAGACTCCACAAAGTCCTTCTCTGAAGCCTCCCCTATCTTGGTGTGGAGATTCTGGGTTCTCTAAGATGGTGGCACAGTGGAGTCTGGAAGACCCGAGTTCAATTCTGCCTCAGACACTCACTGGTTGTGTGACTTTGGATTCCCCTATCTCAGCCTCAGTTTCCTCATCTGTAAAGTAATAGTGCTGACCTTCAGGGGCTGTTGTGAGTACTTACTAAGTGGGTAACATAAGTAAGAAATTCTAGCAGTCATGATTATTCCAAGGACATGCAAGTGGAGAGTAGATTCTCCCTGATGGAATGACTTTGAGTACAGTCTCAACAACAGACTGAGTCTGCCTTCCAAAGACCAGTCTAAGAGATGAAGAGGTAGAGGAATTTTACAAAGAGCTCCATAAAACCCTCTGAATTAAATCATATATGTTGGTTCGAGGCAACATGGGTAATAGATAGAGAGCTGGTCTTGGAACCAGGAAGACCTGGGTGTGAAAGTCCGACCTCTGACTGATACTGAAAGTGTGACATTCTGGGTAAGTGACCTTGTCAGGGCCCCCACAGGCATCTATTTATAAATTGCAGAGAAGGAAGGAAATGAGTATTTATTAAGCATCTACTATGTGCCAGGAACTGTGATAAGTGCTTTACAAATCTTGTCATGTTTGATCTTCACAGCCACCCTGGGAGATAGGTGCTATTATTATCCCCATTTTACAGCTGTGGAAACTGAGGCAAACAAGTTAAGTGACTTGCCCACGTCACACAGATAGTAAACAGCTGAGGCCATATTTCAACTCAGTTCTTCCTGACTCCAGGCCTAGTGTTCAAGTAGAGAAAGACCTCAAGTGGTAGAGGGAATTTCTTCATCTGGGGGATCTCTAGATCAGTGAAATCAGGGGTCCAATCTCTTTTCTCCTATCCAAGATTTTGGTACTCAGAGACTTCAATGCAAAAGTGGGAAAAGGGGAAGAGGGTATAACACAATGTAAAACATGGGCCAGGGAGGAGGAATGTGATAGGCTTATACCCCAAAGTTTCAGGCTTACACCTCTAGAAAAGAATCATATGATGGAGCGGAAAATCATACATATCACAGAAAGTGAAACTGATTAGATTTTAAAAGGCAGGAAATTACTGTTTGCTGATATGAAAGGCGTTTCTCTTTTTTTTTTTTGTTTCTTTATATAGTCACACTGCCAACTCATTAGAGCAAATGTCCAAATTAGTATAAAGCTAGAAGAGAATTAAAATGAGAAAAATCTATGACCTATACTTAAAACAGCTCCAGCCTGACCCATTTAGACCGGTAATTAATGATGGAAAATGGAATCTAGATGGAATAAAGATGCAGACACCTCTAAGAGTAATTTTATACAGGAGTTTAACTTATTTAAGTCAATTGTCAAAAAAAGGGGACCTAAGTTTAATTTAAAGTAAATTTAATATAATTTAAAAGTTAAATAAACTTAAAAAGCATCCAACAAATGATTTATTTGCCAAGGGAAGAGATTGGGTAGCCAAGGGCAATACTGGCTTACAATATAAACTCATTTGTAAAATCTTACAGGGAAGGCTGTTCAATCAATTGATAGACATTTATTAAGCATCTACAATGTGCCAGGCACTGTGCTAAGCCCCGGGATACAAAAAGAGATGAAAAAAAAATGGTCCTGCTTTCGAGCTGCTTACAATCTAATAAGGGAGAGAAGACACAAACAAACAAATATAAAGCTAGGTATATAGGAGAGGACCAAAATGACATTATGATGTACAATGTGTCTGACTGTGGCTGATCAGACCAGTACATGTTCAAAAGGCTCTACCACAGGTTGGGTACAAATAGTCCATATACAGGATAAGTAGGTAACCGAGGGAATGGAATTCCAAGAGGAATCAGGAAAGGATTCCTATAGTAGGGCACTAGAGGCACTGGAATTATTAAAAAAAAGTTGAGGTAGGCTTCCTGTAGGAAGGATTTTTGTTGGGACTTAAAGGAAGCCAGGGAAGGCAGTAGGTAGAGCAGAAGAGGTAGAACATTCCGGGCCTTGGGGGAAATAGCCTGAGAGAATTCCTGGAGCATTGCCTGGGTGTAGGGTCTTATTCATGAGACAGACAGG